ACTAAAATGCAAACGTATCTGAGTGTGTGGCCTGAAAAAGCACAGTCTCTATGCTTATACTGTATACTGATTTGTTTATCTGATTTTTTTTTGCAAGATATTCTCCTGATTCTGTGACATAAAAGACGTTACTTCACAGCCCTGCCCAGCAGAATCCAGGAGAGCAGCAGATTGCCAAAGCCAGGGGCTCTGCCAGGCTCAGTGGGTCACATCCCCTCAGAGCCCGGTCCAGGCCACAGTCAAGCCAGAAGGCAAACCTCCTGCCACAAGGGACGTCATGCTCCCTGAGAAACAGAGCCAGCACCCTGCCAGTCCTCTCCTTATTCAGCTCACAGCTGACTGCATGGGCACATCATGTACTGAACATATGGTCATGATTCATATCCACCACAGAAATCACTGATGTGACAATATAAGCTGTACAACCTCAGAGAAGAGACAAATAAGAGAAAGACAATTGTGACAGAAAAGAATGAGCTCTGCAAGACAACTGGTGCAGGAGAGCAGCTTGTGTCAGAGGCATGCAAGACACTGGACGTGAACAAAAAGCTGACTTTCATGAATGTTATATGTGCTCAAACAGCCTACTATGCTTATTGATCATTGAGCTGAGACTGTAACTATTAAGTCTTAGTACACAAAACGCCAAGAGCTGAATTTCGATACAATGTAAGCATCGTAATTGTGAGCATGTTGGCATGCTGCTGTTAGCTTTTACAGTAAGTAAAGCATTGTTGTGCTTTAATAAGTAAATAGGTGTCACCGCTTTTGTGATCTTGACGACATAGTGTTGGTTTATGCTTAACCACACTGAAGGAGATAAGATTAATTTGGCTTTTTTCAGGCATGACCTGCAGAGGAACTCTGGAGAATTGGGTCCAGACTTTCTCAGCAGTTTGCCTTTCACACATGAACAATGCAACGGGAGGTTCTCTGCTCAGAAGCATTCACAACAGTAACAAAACCCTCTGGAGGATTCAGGTGAGGGGATTGTGTAGCAGGCAGAGGCAGGAAGTGATTGAATCCACTGCAGAAATCACGTGATTTGTTCACATCACATCACCCTCTTGACATCTTCGTTGGCTCTGCTTTTTCATCCTGAGATATTTGTTTTTGTTTGTTTTCTTCATCTCAGCATCTCTCATTTGTTAGAATCGTTATCCACACCTCCATTTGCTTACATTCAATTGTGCGTTGGGTTTCCTGCTGTGGTCTCACATCGACTCTGCTGGACTTTCTGCAGACTTTATACCAGGGCCCAGGTGAAGAAAGTCTGCAGAAAGTCAGGAGTCTCCCACTTGGACCTTTGCATTCACACATACACTTCCTCAGGAGAAACTGCAGAGGATCTCCAGAGTTTAGTACATGTCTCAAGGCAGCTTTAGACTGCAACATGCAACTGCAACTGGCTTCTTATAATACTCACAGCAGCTTGTTACACAAATACAGCAACAGCTCTGTGACTGTGGAGACAAGACACAAATAAATGCTCTTTTGCCAACAACCAATTTGCTGGTCTCAAATCCTCAGCAACGTACTCTTTGCAACTCTTTCATTTGAATACCAATTAAAAGTGATACTGAGTTTCAATTAAAATGCAAACTGTAATGTGAGAAATTTGAAATATTTCAACACAAAGAAAATACACAGAATTAATAGTGAGTATCTTATTCATACCAATTAACTGAATACTAATTAACAACAAATCTAGGCAGAAAGCAAAAAATGAATAAGTATTCAACACCGCCCCAAGTGCTGCAGCACTTGAAGAAAACATGTCCGCTGACCCAGCAACCCACTGCTGTAGCTGCTGTCACAAAAACCTAGGAAAGCATCAGTATTAGAAAAGATCCAGGTGTGAAAATAAAACTGATTGTATCACATGAGATTGTTTTGTGCTGATGATTAAGGTGAGCTCAGTTTTGCATGGATATCATTCTTAACATTACACAAGAATAAGTGGGTATGGATGGATATGTCAGCCACATGGCCATCCATTCTTCATTATCTATATCCCCATTGTATTTATATCTTTTATATCTCGTCTGAATCATAATTTCTTTAAAGCTACATTTTTTGAACAATGTATGTGTTAGTGTTATTATCTGTAGCCAAGAGCAGAAAGAAAGAAACACATAAGCTGCAGAACATGGATGGATTCAGACAGTGTTGTATTTGGGTTTAGATTTTTGTATCATTGCTTTTGTTGGAATTAATATTTTTTAATTATACTTTTGCTGCTTTGGAATTTGTCTATAGTGACAATTCAACCTAAATCTCTTGTGGTTGAGACATTTGGATATTTGGTGCAAAGAGAGCCCTCTCCAAGTCATTAGTCCCCATGTACTGGCTACCATATGAGGAGAAGAAGTGTAGTGAAGTTTACCAATAATTCTACAGTGTGGAGCTCACAGAGACGGAACATTCAAAATGTGACAGCTAGATCTCAATGATGCAGCACTGTGATCCTTAAAGGATTAGAGGTATAGATAACAAATCGATTGATGATCAAATTGAAATGACACATTTATGACAAAACATTACTAAAAGAATCCTGTTCACCTGTAACAAGTCATTGTTGTTCAAAAATAATTATATTGCATTAGGAGATAACAAACTAATATATAACCTAACAACTAAAATAATAAATTGTGCTGTTCAAGGAAGATGATTTGAAACAAACTGATTAGTGTTCATTAGATTACTTGGCATGCAACTCATTTTGGCATTATAAAATTAAATTAAATAAGCTCTGCTGGTAGATGATTCTGTACTGTGATGCATTCAGGGTGCCACTGCCATGGGGGAGCTGTCTGTGGGAGAATGTTTTTTTGAAAGAAGTAAAAAGACATTTGAACCTTATGTACAGAGCTTTCAGAGCTCAGCAGTGTGCTATCAGTCACAAAAAGGCTCACAGCAACTGTCAGCTTCCTCGTAAGACAATTCAACCCTGAGCAGCCACAGGGTTGTTTATCAGCCTTGATACCTGCTGCCTGTGCAACAGCTTCCTTTATCCCATACATATCAAACTTTTTGGTTTTGTGTTGTTACTCTCTGGTCTCCCCAGTAGAATGGCCTCACATTTATAGTGTGCTCATGGTCCAATGTTTTCTCAGAAATTCAGTTA